GACACCGTAGGACACATGGCTTTTGTTTCTCAAATTGAACCTACAACCATTTCCGAAGCAATAAACGATGAACATTGGACCTTGGCTATGCAAGAGGAGCTAAACCAATTCAAACGGAATGACGTTTGGGAATTGGTGCCAAGACCCGATGATCGTACGGTTATTGGTACGAAATGGGTGTTCCGTAACAAACTTGATGAAAATGGAATAATCACTAGAAACAAAGCTAGGCTCGTAGCTAAAGGCTACAATCAAGAAGAAGGCATTGATTTCGACGAAACTTATGCTCCTGTAGCACGTTTAGAAGCTATTCGTTTACTTCTTGCTTTTGCTTCGTCTATGGATTTTAAACTTTATCAAATGGATGTTAAGAGTGCCTTCCTCAATGGTTTTATTCAAGAGGAAGTGTATGTTGACCAGCCCCCGGGGTTTGAAGACTTTGAGTTTCCGGACCATGTCTTCAAACTCAAGAAAGCGCTCTACGGTCTTAAACAAGCACCTCGTGCTTGGTACGAACGGTTGAGTAAATTTCTTTTGGATAGTGGTTTCCAAAGGGGAAAGGTTGACACTACACTTTTTATCAAGAGTAAAAACAATAACATCCTTTTGGTTCATGTTTATGTAGACGATATTATATTCGGTGCTACTAACGAGTCTTTGTGCAAGGAATTCTCAACGTTAATGACAAGCGAGTTCGAAATGTCGATGATGGGTGAGCTCACATTCATTTTGGGACTCCAAGTCAAGCAAAAGAATGATGGCACGTTCATTTGTCAAACTAAATATTGCAAGGAGCTCCTAAAACGGTTTGAAATGGACAACACCAAAGCCATGGCAACCCCGATGAGCACGTCCGACCATCTAGACAAAGACGAGAAAGGTAAGGAAGTAGAAGTCAAAAAGTATCGAGGTATGATCGGATCCCTTCTCTATGTTACTGCTAGTAGGCCGGATATCATGTTTAGCGTATGCCTTTGCGCAAGGTATCAATCATGTCCGAAGGAATCGCACTTAACAGCGGTGAAACGGATCATGAAATACCTTGTTGGCACGGTTAACGTTGGACTGTGGTATCCAAAAGGCTCTTCGTGTCATCTCGCTGGTTATTCCGACTCGGACTTTGCCGGTTGCAAATTGGACCGTAAAAGCACAAGTGGTATCAGAGCCAAGGTCACGAGTTCGATACCCAGCGGGAGCAATTGCTGAGGGGGAGATTGTTAGCCATGTGTGCAGCAATTGTCCCGTGGCGGAGGCTATGTGGGCCAAGTCACAATCGAATATCGTGGGCGCTTGTGTGTTGAATGCACTATAAGGCTAGGGTATGCGCCTCTTCTAACACCAATTGGTTTTAGAAGAGTTGGTAGCGCCTGAGGTCCTACAAAAAAGACTTGGGTACCTAAATCTTATTAAATCATTTTTGTAGGTGTGCTTGAAGGCGTCAAGTGTACTTTGGTATCTTGATAGCGGATGCTCCAAGCACATGACCGGAGATGCATCCAAATTCCTACAAATCAAGCCCACTAAAGGAGGAAATGTAGTCTTTGGAGATAATAGCAAGGGAAAGATTATCGGCATCGGCTCGGTAGGTAAGTCCAAAGACTCCTCTATAGATAATGTCTTGCTAGTTAAAGGTCTTAAACACAATCTCTTGAGCATAAGTCAATTATGTGACAAGGGAAACCGTGTGACCTTCGATTGAAAATCATGCACGTAGAACGCCTTAGTGACAATAAGGTCATTCTACGTGGTGATAGAATAAATAATATATATATGGTTAACTTAGACAAATCTCCTTCCGGCTTTGCTAAGTGCCTCATGAGTAAAGAGGAAGACACTTGGTTATGGCACCGAAGGGTAGCTCATATGAACATGAACCTTTTGAACAAATTGGTTTCACAAGACTTAGTAATTGGCATTCCAAAACTTAAGTTTGAAAAAGACACCATATGTGATGCATGTCAAA